CTCATAATGCCTGGCCCATGAACAACCAGCAACTTATCCCAGGTGGTTTGGTCGGCGTGATAGCGAGCGAAGAGCGCGCCAAGAAGGCGCGTCGTGTGCCCCCAAGTACCGGCTTCCAACCTCTGCCTGATACCAACGAGGCCTTCAATTGGGGGCAGGCGTCGACTCAGCCGGTCGGAATTGCACATTCTTTTGGCCTGCCTGGCACGCAGACTCCGATGGCTTTCTCCAGGCCTCAGACTCCCGTTGCCGTCCCTCAGTTGCCCCCACTTACTTCCAATCAAGAGATGTTCAACTTCTTGCAGGCTCAAACTGAGATTTTGAGATCGATGGCGACCATGAATCAGAGAAGCAGCCAGCCTTGGGATGCCTTGTCATCTCAGCAGTCGGTCATGAACATGGGACCTCCCGGTGCTGGGTCGACGTATTCGCCATCCCATTACGCACCTTCAAACTACTCAAAGTCGAACTACGCACCATCAAATTACGCGAGATCTGTTTTTCAACAACCCGGGCGATATGCTGCCTCAGTGGCACCTTCAGAGCGCAATATCGTTGGTCTTCCAAGTCGTTACAGACCAGTTTCCAAAGCTGCGACACAAACACTTTCGGGAAAAGCAACCAAGAACGACGACACAATGTCTCTCAGCAACTGGGATAACAATAGATTTAATGTTCCTCGTACTAGTGTTACCGTTGAGCAAGATAGCACCGATGATGATGACGATGACGCATTCTGGAGAGCGAAAAGAGAGAAAAGAGACAAAAGGAGAGCCAGATTCATTCAGGAGACTGATTTGGGAATAAAGCCAGAATGGATCAGCTAAAAGAAGGTAGACATGCATACAGATTTAGATGGGCGTAATATGGCATAAAAGAGAACATGGAATGGGTTGGGATATCATAATCGTGGATAAAATACGCAACTATAGTAGCCTGATAGAGCTAATGATAATAATTCTCTGACTGAATGCTGATAAGATGAAAACCAAGGTTATGACTCTTTAACCGCCCTTCAAAGGGTATACGATGATGCCCCTAATGCATCTGGTAAGATGATTTAGCTTGGTACTATAAAAACCAAGAACCTTGCAATTTAGAATGCTAAGTTAAATCGTCTTGGCGGATGCATTGGAGGCACTATACCTCTTGGAGGGAGGCAAAAGAGTCATAATCTAAGTTTTCATCTTATTAACATTTATAAATCACAGTGCACCTTATCTCATGAAGAACTTCGCCAGCCTAAAGTAAATACAACATCAACTCCTGATACTAGATCTTGCGAGGAATGTTTGAACCCTAGCCTTATAAGCGCAGGTAATGATTACAATATAAAACAATATAAATTTATCGTATTCCGTCTGACAAAAAATTATCGTATGTCGATGAGAGCGCGCTACTGCTCTGTTGCCCTGACGTCTATTTGTGAGTCTTTATGCGGGCTTCTTGAAGATAGAGTAGAAGTTGAAGTATGCTTGGGCCCGGCATTGGGGAATGCAGGCACCGCAAGCTCTGACGAAGATCTCGAGACAGGGCGAGAGCGACCAGTTGGGTCTCCTCGGGCTGTGGCGGCCAATGCATCGAGCTGCGTCATGGTATCAATCTGTGTGGACGATCTAGACTTCATGAACGAGGCTCTGTCATCAGCCATGAACTGGTATCGCGCATCTGGGTTCTTTCGCCAGAACACGAGAGCACTCGATATGATGATCATGAGCAGCAGAATCAGGGAGAAAGCGGCGTTGGCTACGAAGAGAACGAGGCCAGTCACGGAGGGACCCATTCGAGGCATGCCGAGAACATTGGTGAAAATGAAGAGGCAGATGGCGTTGAGGAAGTTTAGAACGAAGATGGCAATGTTGAACGAGTTCGTGCTCTTGTCCATGAAGGGGCGCATGACGCTGGTGGCGATGAGAGCAGCGGCTTCGATAAGAATGAGGGCAACTGCCTGGGTAACGCCGCTCTTCTGGCTCAGAGCAACAAACATGCCCTTGACAAAGATGTAGGCAAGCTGAGGCACGATAAAGTAGTAGCCAGTAGCTCGATACTGGATGTACAAGAATCCCCACTTGTTCAAGATTCGCGAGTTCGAGTACAGAGTGACAACTGGGTTGTTGTGTCTCGCGAGTGTGACTATCTTCAAAGCTGCCATGGTGAGGGTGAGCAAAACCGTGAAAAAGAAGAAGACCGCGAGGACAACGTGCGCAGCCGAGTCAACCTGTGTGAACTCCCAAAGACAAAGAATGGTGATGGGAGGAAAGCCCATGAGGGTGAGTCTAAGAAGAATTCCCTTGAGGATGGTGCGCCATTCTGTTCGGAACTCGAGGAAGCGATCACGCTTGATCCAAGCCTGCTTAGCACACAGGTCGAGAACGAGCTTGAAGAGGAAGACTAGGATGCAGGCAAAGACAGTGAAGATGCCGAAGAAGACGATGGCGGTCAGGAAGAGATTCGTTGTCTCAATCTGTGAACGGAACGCCACACGCTGGATGCCGTAGACCAAATATGAGCCGGTTTCGAGTTCAATGTTGCCTCGTTTCGAGAAGGCGAAGTCACGACGGATCAGAGCTGCAGCACCAGGGATGTTTTCCAAGGACCGCTTCACAACTTGGACCGAAGCGGTAGCGAGATTGTCAAAGAGACGAGCGGGCTTTCCCCCTGTAGCGCGATCATACCAAGTGAAGATATCTTGCATCCAGCCCATTCGGATGATACCCATAGACCACTGGAAGTTCTGCGTCCAGGCGTCCACGACCGGCGGCATCGTGACAGCAGTAAGTCCGATTATAGCCTGCGCCTGAAAGTAGGCAAAGAGGGATAGTGTGTTGGCAGCAAGATGAGCAGCAGCGTTACCGTAGCCGGCTAGCGAGATGAGTGCTGAGGAAATGAGACCGATTCCAATGATGATGGCAGTGACCCATTTGACTGAGAGTTGCTCGACGGTTTTACCAGTGGAGAAATCAGCCTCGACACAGGCAACACTCTCGCCCGTGGAGGTCATGTTGACATATGCGCGCACGGTGGCATCTAGATCAGGAATGCCATACGCGATGCCAGGAATCTGATCCAAAGCATTGCCAAGCGGGACGTTGAACTTGATGTCGATATCACCGGGTGCCATAGGACATAGACTCGGCAGGTCGAAGCTAGTTCTGCAAGGATCGACAATCTCGTGAAGGAATTGATGACCATAGACTTCGAGGGTGACATCAAAGTTCACATAGCCTTGAACTGATGCTAGAGCATTGACGTTGATGGTGGCCAGTGAGTTGTTTGGCGTGACGACAACGTGAAAGAGACTGGCAGTCAATAGCGAGCCTTGCTGACAGCTGTTGAGCGATTTTGACTCGAGAACCCTGTCGGCCATTGCGGCGGGAAATTGGGCGAGCCATGAGAATAAGATGAGAGATGCTGTAAATAGCTTCATGACGGCGGTGGATTGATGCGGTCGGCTACGGCTGAAATTGACTTGATAATTGGATGCGACTGCGTGCCTCGAGTTGAGCTCACGACGGGAGCTGTTGGATTATATGCGACAGTAAAATGCGACACTGTGAACCATTGTTGAGGTTTCGATGATGCGCGAGATGACAGACTTTCGGCTGGCGCGGGGAAGTTCAAAAGGGGTTCAGGTCCGGAAAATGAAGCGAGAGTGTCGGACACTGTTCAACCAAGCTAACCCGAGACTACCCAAGATGCTTCACTGATGGAAGCAATCGAGCTGATGGAATTGGTGATGGTTGAAGTTGATAATTGAAGTCTGTCGGATGGAGAAACAAAGACGAGATGGACGGGGTTGGCATGGGAAATTAGAAATAAGCTAACGAGGGGAAACACGCCAAAAGCGGAGACTTGAGCTCGTCTAGCTGCATAATTGGTGCGTTTCTTGTTCCTCTGCATGTTAAAATTGGACGTCGATACGAGGTCTTTGCCAATCACTGACCCATGCGACATCAGATTATCCCGCATCATGGTATTTCCGACCGAATCCCCTCGTATTTGCTCAGTTTTCTTGATTGAAGATTTCAGATTTCGGCAGCGATGAGTGAATAATAATGTGGGAAATGTGTCAAATCATGGATTGTACGCAGCATGATGCGTTCTACATCCCCAGCACCGCGATAAGCGTGTTTTGCCCTCATCTTTTCCCCGCTGACTCTCCTCCCTTGACTCTGCAAAAATACGTCATGGATGCCACATCTGAGCAGCTAAAAAATGGTGGTTAGGCTGCCTTGGGCTCCGCGTTGTTAGTGCAAAGGCCCTAAATATTGATGGAAATACAGTGGGGTCATGGAGGGAGTGCCCTGAAATGGTGATTCCCAGCGCTGCTGTTAGAATGCGCCGAACTGATGGTAGCTTGCGAGCACTGCACTGGCATCACCTCTGCTACCTGCGCCATGACTCGCCTACCCTGCGTTGGTTCAAAAAGCAGAAAACCTATTTCCGTAGGCCATCAATGGAGAATAGTAATATTGTTTAAGGCTGTTACTTGGTCATCTTACTTATAGGTCGTTTTATTGTTCAGTAAGTGAAGATAAGCTCATTAAGTTGACCTAGATGCGATTGAGACGCGAATTGAGTTCACGACGCTGATCGGGACAAATTTACCAACACCTACTAAAACGAGAATCCCAACTGAGCCACACCATTCTGTAACATCTCATGGAAGTCGAGGGCATCATGAATTACTTTGTTACGAAAATGAGGGGTCATTAATCCTTGCCGCATGATTTCACATTGTGTTAAGATAAAGTCTCAGACCAGGGGTTTCCTCCCGTTCTGGCCGTGGTCTTGATGGGACATTTTTTGCCAAAACAGCCCCGAACTGCGTGGAAAACAGGGCATTTATCCAAAAAAAACAGTTGCTTGATCTGGGAGAGCACTCCATGCGAACTGCCTGATTGAGTTATCGGATGCTTTACGCGATATCCCTGGACGACATGCCCAATCAGCGGCTGTTCTCAAGCCTCGGCGCATAACTTCAGCATCTGTACGACCAACGACCAGCGTGGCGTGTTCCCTACGAAATGTTTGACCTTCTCCTCACTTGGCTTTTCACTCATCCGAGAAATTTGCTCATCGAAGTGCTACGCCAATAATCACAGTGCCATGTCCTCTCCTCCTGCGCCTGCACCAATCTCGTCGTCTGACCAGGCTACTCAGACATCGCCTTCAGTTGCAGATGCAAACACGCCAGAACAACCGCTTGAGCCGGCTGCCCCCCCTCAACTTGATCATGAAACGGTAGATGACGATGATTCTGCCGTGAGCGCCGGAGTGTATGATCTCTTTGGGGAAATTGACTTTGGACCATAACTGACGTCGCCAGCGACTCATCGACGGCATCTGTTGCTTCGAGTATCTTGGAGTACCGAAAGTTCAAGGGAAGGTCGTATCATTCTACCTACCACGATAGTAGCTATCCGATTCCCACTGACGAGCAGACCCTCGAGAACTTTGATCTAATGTGAGTAAATGTTGCCTGGAACCTCTACTCCTTTGGCACAGAGCGGCTACTAATTGGGCGTAGGCACCACTTCTTGACACTACTCACTGACGATAAGCTGTATCTGGCACCTATAAAGGACGATGTTCAGGTACGAGGGAGAGAATTGAGAAAATGAAGATTTGCAGGGCTGACACTTTCCGTGACACAGAAAGTACTAGATGTTGGTACGGGAACAGGTCGGTCACGTCTAGTCAGCACAGGAAATACAAGATGCTAATCAGTTTCTAAGGAATTTGGGCAATGTTTGTACCATTGATCTCCCATGTCATATCCACTGACCGAACTCACTAGAGACTATGCTGATGAGCACCCAAATACCGCTGTCATCGGTACAGACTTGTCCGCTGTACAGCCAGACTGGGTGCCCCCCAATCTCAAGTTCGAGATCGATGACTGCACTAAGCCCTGGACTTGGGACGCAAATACCTTTGATTTTGTGCATATGCGTTACTTGTTTGGTGCTATTCGAGACTGGACTGCACTCTTCAAAGAGGCATACAATGCAGTCAAGCCAGGAGGTTGGGTCGAGTCCTGTGAGTCCGAGCCCATGACACATAGCGACGATGGCACCGTGACCAATGACGGATCAACCGCTCTGGGAGGAACCTGGGATAAGATGTTCATTGAGGGAGGCAAAGCAACCGGATGCTCTTTGTCTGTCCTCACGGAAGATCTCCAGATGAAGGCTATGAAAGAAGCTGGCTTCGTGGATATCCAGGAAACATTCTACAAGGCAAGTGAAGAGCCTTTTCATATTCTTACTGTCCTAACTGGCCGTACCTGGACAGATCCCGTTCGGTTCATGGCCCAAAGATCCCAAGATGGCGGAGATCGGCCAGTATGCGAAGCTCAGTCTAGAATCTGACCTTGTTGGTAAGTCTTCGCTCATGTCTCAAGAGAGTGGTAAGCAAGAAGGACCACTGACGTGTATCCCGTAGGCTATTCACAAATGATTTGGCATGAAGTTCTGAATTGGCCAGCCGAGGAGTATCAGATTTTCCTCATGCAGGTACGAAAGGATCTTAGGAACAAGAAACTTCACCCTTACTTCAAGGTTCGCTTTGTCTGGGGCCGCAAACCTGAGACCGAACAGAAGTGAGCGTCTCAGAATAATCAAAAGAGGGGTGTTTGTTTTGGGGGAGTAACTAGTACTGCAGATGGTGAAAAACGCTGGGCTGTCCAGATCAGAAAATCAACTACAGACATTACAGATTACACTATCACAATTTCATGGCTCTGAAGAATCTCAGCATGTTGCAAGAATAAACAATCTTTTCTGATATCATGCGCTTTCCAGTTGCTATTTTACACGCCTCAGTTTCTAACTTAGACAAGCTCCAAGGTGCCGTTGAAGTTTCTGATTCTCTCATCAAGAATGATCGAGCTAAGCACCCAGTCTCCATCTCGAGACAGCTCACCCTCAAGTCGTTGACCTCCATCCACAAGACGAACATGTCGTGCAGAAGATCCGAAACCGCCACCACCATGGCGACCACCACCAGGCACCTGCAGTGTCTGTCCAGGATAGATCAGATCAGGATTGTTGATGTTGTTATGTCGTGCAATCTCCTCAAACGAGCAGTTGAATCGAGCAGCGATGCCTCGAAGAGTATCGCCTTGCTGGACTGTGACGGAAGAAGAGCTACCATGATGGCCACCTGCGGACCAACGGAAGCTTCCTCTGTCGTTTTCGAGGACCTTGTCGAGGGAAATGGATGTGTGTTGGTAGTCTCCGTCCTCGCGCTTACAAGAAGCGTGCAGAACGTAGTCGCCGTGAGCATCGAGTCTGATATCTCGAGATGAGGCGGTGAAGTTACCGGCGTAGTGACCACCACGACGTCGGTTAGAGCCACGAGAAGAGCTTCGGCTTCGGCTTCGGCGACGATGGTGGTGAGATTCATAACGATCATCATCGCGGCGCTCCTTTCGTCTCCTTTCTTCCTCTTCCTCGCGTCTCTTCTCTTCCTCCTTTCGTCGCTTCTCCTCTTCCTTCTTCTCGTCTCTCTCATCCTTCCAGTCTCCAGCGGCGTCTTGCAGCTTGTGACCGCCAAATGCACCGGCCAAAGCTCCAACGATGGTACTGGTCTTGCTGTGTCCGGTGACTCCGCCCATCTTATGACCACCGAAAGCTCCAGCTGCACCGCCGGCAAGGGCTCCCATTACACCACGCTCACCATCGGGACCATCGCCGCCGTCAAACTGACCTTGAGGTCCTTGGTTGTATGCAGGGGGGCCCTGCTGATATTGTCCAGGTCCAGAAGGTCCACCAGGAGGATACTGGGAGGACTGAGAGGACTCTGAGTAGTAGGACTGTGAGAGACCTGGGCGGTCTTGCTGATAACCGCCCTGTTGCTGATAACCTCCTTGTTGAGGACCACCTTGTTGGTGGCCTCCCTGTTGTTGACCGTACTGCTGAGGACCGCCTTGTTGATAGCCGCCTTGGTCATTGCGACGTTGATCGTCACCGCCATAACCTCCCTGGCCGGAGCCATCCTGGTTATACCCAGGGTTCTGCTGCTGGAAGTTGACGTTGTGGCCGTAGTAAGTCATTTTGATTGAAGATGTTTAGAATACCAAGAAATGAATTTTGCTTCATCTGTCGGGAAGCAGCTTATATATGTCAACTGCCGAGGCGGAGGCAAAGATGGTCTTCCCAGCCACAGTTGACGTCTCCATCAACCCTCCCGACCAAACCCAATCGGAAAGCCTGAGACTGGGAAATGTGGATTATCATCAGCACAGCCTCAGAAGATTGAGTGATGCCACGTATCGACTGCGGAGGCTTGACTTGGTCATTGCTGTCTTGGCGTTTGGACTACCACTGGCCGTTGCGAATGAAGATGCAGGGATTGGTATTTTTAGAACAGGAGCGTCGTCATGTCCAATGGAACACTGCATATGGGGTGTTGCCACAATCTGTCAGAATCCCCAATGAAGAACTAATTGGTTTGTAACGAGCCTGTAACTTCTGAGTTTTGGTTTCAGATGCTGACGTTGTGTATCAGGCTTGTTTGTTGTTGGTGTTTAAAGTCTTCTGGACATGCGCCAAGCCCCGAAGCGGTTAAGGCGGCAAATTGCCCAGCATCGGTCCTGTCCGTGCTTCCATGGGGCATCTTGCGGTCTGGTAGGGCATTTTTCTAGGAAGGACAACACTGTCGCCCGAAATGATCAGATATCTGTGAGTCAACGGAGTTGTTGAAGGCATATCGCAACTCACTCCGAGCTCCCAATGTGACAAGGTTTCTCTGTCAGAAAGCTTGACTTTTAGTCCCGACTAGTTGGGCTCTGCTTCGACAACGAGATATCGGCCCACTGTACAATCGTGAGTTCCAAGGTTTCATATGAATGGAGCATACCAGAAAAGCAGAAATGCTCTTCGCAACTGACCAGTGCGGTATGAGGGCGCGCACCATATCCCCGAATCACCTTGACCTACCAGCTAGTTGCCTATCAAGAAATGATGACAAGGACCAACACAGTAGAGGTAAGTTGCAATTGAAACTCATGATAATGATCTTGAGTTTCTATATTGTATTTCTCTCTTGAGAAAGGGGTATCCTAAACTAGCTAGTCATTCTAAACAGTCATCATACGAAACACCATCCTCTTTCCTAACCACATAATGGTAAGGAGGAAGCTAAAAAGACAAGACGCAATACCGAGAACCCATGCGCCTTCTATGGCATAATTCGAGTGCCACTGCTTCGTGGTTGCGCTGACTATATCATCCGCGTTGATCAAGTCAACCCCCTCGTGATGAAGTGTCCTCCAAACGTAGTTTCTTCGGGATACAGGCCAGCCTGGTAGCTCCCAGTATCTCGACTTCAGGTTCAACTTCTTTGCAAGTTGGATCTGGTCAGCCAGCTTCTGCTGTTGTGACTTGCTGAAGTATGGAATGACAGTCCCAATGGCTCTGAAGAGAGATACGGAAGCTGTGTAAAACTCATTTTCCTCCACTTCGCGACAAAGGGTGTCGTTTCTCTCGCAAAATCCCGGGTGAGATAGGAGATCTAAAGATGCGTCAAGAAACACATCGTGGTGCTGCCGCCACTTCGCCAGGTCAGGACCAATATTAACATCTCGCCTCTTGCCAATATTGCCTGTTCCGACCACAGTTAGCGGACCAGACTGAAATGACTGGTCTACCGGTGTTGATCCAGTGTTTTGATGATATGAAAGATATCCTTTCTGCCTAAAAGGTTCCAGGTGCTCCAGGACTACCGGCCAAGTCTTCTCTGGGTCGTCCTTGACATCGATGAACAGGATGAGTGTCTTGTTTGGATGGCTAGCAAAAACACCAGAATGATGTCCTTGGCTCTCGAGTTCATCCGAGAATTGTGGGGAGTTGAAAGAGTCGAGAATCTCCAGCAGTGGCTCAATGTAGAGAGAGTTCAGGGTCTTCTCTGGTGTGAGATTCCACCAGTGATGGCCAACCAAGAGGTCTTTTCCATTCTTGCTGAGCCAAACGTCGGCCTCAACACTAGCACAGCCAACAGATAAAGCCGAGAACAACGGCCGTGGTCTCAGGTAGTCGTTGTGAGAATGGACCATAACTGGAGTTACTTGAGGCGACAGGACTTCAACCCATCTCTTGGCACTTTCTATAGCATCACCGTACTGCTCGATAGGATCGGCCAAGGCAAGACCAGAAGCTTCGAAGGTGTAGACAGCATAGCGCTCGATAACAAATGTCATCAGGAAGAAGGCGATTCTGGTCAAGACGTCAGCCCATATATGCGACGGACAGTTGAATAAGAACTGACAGGATTAGACATGCTCCAGCAAAAGCTGCGAGAAACGGACTCAGCCATTTCCTGCGGCCTCTTATACATGGTCTTCTTCGCGAAGAACAGCATGTTGCGTAGGATTTCAAGTCATCTTCATTCGTCGGGCTGGTTGGCCGAAGAGGTCGATATTCTATATCGTCCTTGTTAGTCTGACTACAAAAGTAGCCCGAGAGATTCATGATTCCTGCAGTTGAGGCAAAGAAACACGGACAGCATAGATACTTGCTATGACTGTAACATTTTCCGCAAGACGAGGACGCATCTTGATGTATAAGAATTAGCGAGAGCAATGCGAAAATACCCGCAAAGTGCCGAATTGATCATGCGGCAGCTTCTGATCTACGGCTAGTTCCCGGGTGGCCGTATTACAGCTGGTCTACATCCCACGTGGTTCCACCATGAGACTATTCACCGACCAATCCAATTCATCAGTTCAACCACGAAGGTTTAGTTTGGATAATAACTCAAGCTTCATTCAAGACTTCTGGCGATCGGCTATGGCAGATGGCTTGTCTAGACTATTGAGATGGATGCGATAAGCACACGTGTGTCGATGAAGGGACGCGATGCTTCACGCACGAGTCAAACAAGACGAGGTTGCATCGTAGAAATCACGGTTGATAAGAGCAACAAAACGGAATTGGCTAAGACGGATTTGGTATTTGAATCTGCATTAGTTAGTCAGCTTCCTCTACCATGCAGTCTCTTCGGTAGTGCAAGCATGCACTGAAGATCTCTAACTTCACCATACTTCGCTAGGGCAAATTTGCTGCATTTATAGACCGTAGCTAGAGGTATTACTAGCACATACGACCAAAGGTAGTGGAAAATACGGGATCCCGTCCGCTCTCCCATAGTCAAGCCACTAACCGGCGGATTAGTAGTTGGGTCGGTGACGACCAGCGAATCCCCGCTGTTGTATGTTATTTTTGCGGTTCTTAAATGTAATTCAATTATGTCTATGAGCTATCCGCATACGTGTTGGCTGCTGATGAAAGTTCATATTATTGACCGATGCCTCTGTCGCCAATATTGCCTTTTAATTATGTCGGATTTGACAGCTTTTCATGGGCATCTTAGTATTGCTCGCCATCGAGTAGTTGATAGGTATGGGCGTACGTGAGGCTTCCATTTGAACATTTCAATCATCTGGAGTATCTATGTATGGAGAAACAACAAGCATGGCAGGGTACAATAGGTAGCTCACTGTTATGACTTTATTTTCGTCGGTTTGTTGCCTTGCCATCCGTTCCCCTGATCCCACTGATACAGATCTTGGCTTCGACGGACGCGCTTAGCATCGCCGATTTTCAGTGTTTGTCCGTAAAAAAACTCTTCCTTGCGTCTCAAGCAGTTGAAACCCAGAAGAGCCAATCTTGCCGACAAAGAGTTAGCCTTGTCCCTGATCGTCTTTGAGGTTCAAGAGCACGTCCTTCAAGCTCGCTTCAACGTTATCAATGCTGCCTTGTCTGACTCAAGACTTCTGAATACAGAACCGCACATCTTTACTCCGTTTCATCATAACACATGCACTCTTTGTCATGCAGCTTCCACACGATCTTCTCTCGCTAGGTCATCATGCCAGCATCGACATAGGCGCCACCACTTGTCCATCCTTTGTACTCCTCAGTATCAACCCACTCTGACCTAGGACCGACAATCGTGTCACCCATCCATCTCAGTCTGTCTGCGTAAGATCGCCTCTGCTTATACCGTCCTTGGCACGGAGAACACGCCGGACTCCCCAACGCAGCAACTGGGTCGGGCTGCGGACCAAAAGAAGCTTCTTTACGCTTTTCCAAGGACATGAAAAATTCAATTGCAGTCTCAAGATCAGTTTCTACCCCGTTTAAACCCCCAACGCAAATAGGCTTGGCTCCATTCGCGATTGAGTCAAATGTTGTCGATGGGCTGAGACCGCCTTGCTCTCCAGTGGCCATAACTAGGACGCTCATCTTGGTGATATTTCTCAGATTGCCACATGTTGGATAGAGCTGCCCTGTAACCACAATCATTATGGCTCTGAATAGTGGCAGTGTTGTATAGAATGGCTCTGCCTCAATAGAGTCAAGGCGATCATTGATCATGGTGTGCATACGCATTGCCAAGCTGACTGCAGAGTCGAGATCTGACGTCAAGACCTGATGATCTGGGTGTATGATTTATAATAAATTGCCCCTGGTAGATGCTTGTTCGATATGGTTGAAACCATCGCCGATAGATATAGTTGTAAATAATAATAGAAAGCATTTATTCAAGCCCTCTTCTGGGACCATCTGCGATGGGCAGATAGAAAGGCACTGTCTTGTTGCGAAACTGGGTGGCCTCACGACTATCCATATTCGGGAGATCCTCCGGAAAGAATTGTTTGCGAGAGGCTATTGCTATACGATGCTCTTTCTCGATTTATCCACGGATGTGATGCAAAATCTCATGGTGGACCAGCTTGACTGTACAGTTGATGACAGGCCCAATGCCGTGGCAGGTTTCATATGGTGCGTTGTAAGGTCGGTCAGAAGCAAACAGGTCGATTTTGCCACCCTGCTCGTTGTGTGACGTCGGAACTCTGTTATCCATATTGCAGTGAGCTCCTAGTTTTTTCTGTCATCGCATCACTTGTTGTGGGAAAAGCAAGGTATATATACCTTCTGACGTGGTGGACCCATTACATTTGCTTAGGTCGACCTTCCCCAGAAGTCTGTGACACATGCGACCAAAAGCATATTCTTGCAATAGACTTGATCTATCAACATGCGATCCGATGGGCGTATAAAGCACGCACGTTTCCTTCGAAGATAGGGCAACAGATTAGCAAACCCATTCTGCTGCCTTTCCTGCCCCATAATGTAATATAACACCATGGGAAGGAAAAGTCTGCCTCAGTCAGCCAACCTAATGTCGTGGAGAGAGGCGAGAGAGGCGATAACTCTTTTGATGGGCTGCCAAAGACGCAATAAAGCTATCGAAGGATGGGTATTAGGATGAGTCAACAAGTAATGAAGGGGCATATTTAGCCTGCCAAGTTTCATAGAGAGAGTATATCTATAGGAGGCAAGAAACTTTGGACCTCTATCCTAAGCAGTGAAAAGACTTGTATAAGTTTTGGTAAATTCAAATAGTCGTTTAGACCAGTTAGTGTTGCTTCTCCAGCTTAAGGCCTGATGTTTTGCTCTCCAGGTATATCAAACACGGATAGTCATGGTACGCCGTTCTAAGTTTATTTGGATCAAGGAACAGAGTACACAGACCTATTAACTGCGATCTGTCGTTTAATTGGGCTAGTGAAAGATCCTAACGCCTTTATAGCGCCGATTCTCCACTGCCAAAGCATTACTGTTTAAAGATCTTGTACCATGGTAACTCCAAGTATGCCCTCCAATTCTAGCAACCATAAGACGGACTAATGCCATCCCATCGAGTAAAGCAATTGCCTATTTCGTAACTGTTGGTCGACAACAAGCTGCATACACGTGACTCATAGGACTTTAGGCAGCAACCCCGCGAGATGTCGTATCATATATATGTACGTCAGCTTTATCTCTAAAGACTCTGAATATTCAATGAGCCTTTCAGTATCAACTTTCATTCTTAATTAGCCATGCCCGGTTACTCAAGTGACCAGTTATTGAAGGATTGGCTATACGCCGTCAAGCAAGACTTCACTACATCTCAAGGGAACCCCTTCCCATATGCCGAGAATGGCAAACAGCAATGGGATGATGAGATCAAGAAGATTACCTTCAAAAGGCAGCCTCATATTGGTTCTGTGAGCAGCAATGGAAAGTATCTTGCTCTTGGAATCGACCATGTCATCCATATCCTCGATACCCAGAGCTGGGATACTATTGCAGTTCTGAGGGGTCATACAAACAAAGTTGATACCCTTGCGTTCAGATCTGGCCGCTCGGATGTGCTGGTCTCGTGTGAAGAGCAGATATACGACGATTTGGGGCATACTGAACCGCCCACGATCATTCTGTGGAACATCGAAGAAGAAAGGTCGGCACCGAGACTGGGTGACGATCAGTTACGAAATGCCAGTCAAGCCGCTCTTTCAGCTGCTGCAGACAAGTTAGCCGAAGCCGGTATCAATCTGAGCAAAGACGAACTCCGCCATCTAGAGCGAACTGTCGGACCTGCTGTCAGTCGCACCGTCTCTAAGCACATCGCGGCGAGTAAAGTGACCATAGAAGGCCGACTACACTCAGCTCATGGGTCTCAAATTTTCAGCCCTTCAGGAAATTGGATGACATATTTGCCTGGAGAGTCACCTATCTCGAATGGGGATGATCCATGGGATATTCAGATCGTTTCCTCGGACGATCTTTCCAAGGGGCTGCTCCTGAAGGGCCATACCGATGCAGTCATGTGGACAGGATGGAGCCCTGATGAATCAGTCTTTGCTTCTGTGTCATGGGACGAGTCTATTCGTATTTGGGATGCTACTACAGGAGAGCAAAAGTACAGATTCAAGACCGAGGGGCAGAACTGGGCTGGTGCTTTCAGTCCCGACTCGAGCTACTTCGCAGCAACGGACGGACTAAGCAACGTATGGATCTATTCCATTGCTGACGGAGAGCAGCACTGGGTCTACAAAGGACATCGTTCTGATCGCTGGAGAAGGACTCTTGCATGGCACCCAACTAACCCGTGGCTTGCTGTAGGTGGAGAGAGCAGTGGCGAGCTACTTCTCCTCGATGTTAGCGAGAAGAAGTTACTGCAGAAACGACTATTCTCTACAGATGCTTGTACAGTGGATAAGGAGTCTCTTGATATGATGAGAGACTTTGTTGGGACGTTGGAAGTGAGGTTCTTTGATGATAGAAACAAGCTTGCGGTTTGGACTTTCGGTGACTGGAGTATTGAAGTGTATGACCTCAAACAGGAAGTCAAATGGCGGTTTGCACGAGGTGGAACAGAAGATGGGCCAAATGCGGGAAAATGGAGGAACGAACATGGTAAGGTTACGAGTAAGGGGGGCTACGAAATGGTAGCTTGGGAGGATCACTCTAAGTGTTCGCTGTTCCTTGCCAGTATCGACTTCGACGCTGTGCGCCTTTGGGAGGTACCGCTGACAACTTGAGTTGCCTTTTGTGTGAATGCATATGAGCCGGTTCAACTCCAGCTATGATGTCGATACTCCGTCCATCCTTGATTCATAATAGGCTACCAGAAGTCCCTGAACAGAAACATGGAGGTTTGACGCTGTTTGGCAGCATTCAGTGGATTTAGTCGAGATGTAGCATAAAATAAGGATGAGCAATCCTGATTTATCTTTTAGTTTTGTTAGTGTTCGCAGAAGTTCCAACTCTGAGCCTGTCGTCTGAGGCTGTCGCTGTTTACAACCTTTCGCTCTGATACCAAATCTTCTCTAATCCGTCTTGCTTCATCTATTCCATATGGATAGTCCACCTTTTGAGTTATTGCATCCCTGATTTCACTAGGAAGGCTATTGAGCGGTTCTGCCTCCCTGAGCTTATCCTTCCACCAATGCTTTTGCTGTGGGGGCACATTGCCTGTCGAGATAATCGGGACGATTGGGTCAACAAGAAACAGAGCGACAATCTTGCGATACCCAGGACGAGTCTGGTCAGCCAACTCAAAAGGTTCAACTCGATGTTGATAGATATTAGGGAAAAACAAGGCTCGGCCTTCTCGTGTCACGACACTCCCGAGATTCTGCATCTTATCCCCTTTAGCTTTAATAGCAAAGATCGCTTCAATACCATCGTGGTCTCCCTGAGAGTAACTGAGCCTATCTCTAAGGTTATCCCTATCCGCCTGAGTACGGAAGGAAAGACGAGACTCGGTGATATTATCGCTGTCATAGTAGAACAGCGCCGTGGCGCAGATATGTTCGTTGAGTTGCCCTTCAACGTGCCACGAGCCACCATCATACGTGGGTTTCTCGGGAGTCAGATGTATGTTTGCCATCTTAACAATGACTTGGATCTGTGAGACCTTATTGAAGAATTCTTCACTTTGGAAGTGGGATGCATCGAGGGGGTATCTTGCATCCTCCAAGGGTTCTGGGCAGTTAATCTTGTGAGTTTCCGACCACCATTTCCAGTTCAACCGCTTGCCCTCTTCAAAGACAGAACTAGTTTCCGAACCACTGTCATAATCCTCGCCGTCTGCGAGCGGCCTATTACTCTGATAGCAGCCATGCATCTTCGCACAGATCTCGGGCACGTTACACGTCCATTTGATTTCGTGAACGGTTCCGAATCTCTTGAACCTGAACTCCTTGCGAGCCGAGCGACAGACGATATCCCAAGCGGGAAGAGATCTCGCAATAAGCTCCTCGATGAGAGAATATATGGCTTTGTATCGGACAGGGTGAAGATTGTTGATGTAGCTCTTGATTCGTGGTCGACCACCTGCCAGGTCAACATCGCATGGAAGCCATTGGTATCGTAGTGATAGAGCTCTCTTATCGTTATCTTCGGTGAAAGATCGAAGGCTATCTGGCATTCTGAGATGCGGCGTTTTGGGCTCAGGGATGACTTTTCCCGAGCCGCAATGATCAAGACACTTGTCTAGCGTTATGTGTTTGTCGGAAATAATTCGAGATCGGCCAAACACCAATGGCCAGAGTGAGGGATGAACAAGGTCCAGAACCTTCTCGTCGCTTCCTGGATGCCAGTCTCGTTGGGACCCGGGAACGTCTTCAAGCAATGCAGCCGCAGCTCTGAGCCTCTGCGTCAACTCGTTGGGAAGAAGCGCGTCAGACTTGATGACACAAGAGGAAGATTCCATCACGGGAATTAGCTTCGTTTGTTCGTAAATCTTAGCCTTGACCGCAAGATCCTTGAAACACTGGAAAGCGTCAGTCAAAAAGTACCATCAGTCAGTCCTGTTGGCACTTACCACGTCTGCCATTTTGCTCGTAAAATCACCATTGTGCTGATAGCTGGCCCATGGCATTTGTAGCGCTTCTTGCTTCCATTTGGAGACAATATCAGTATTCAAGACTTTCTCCCACCAATGCGCCTTGTTTGTGATCTCCTCTTCCAACTTGAGCATGCACACTTCGCGATTCATGAGTGTTCGCGATTTCCAATCTTCCGCATGCAAGCCAAGGAGGAAAGGCTGGCGTTTGTTGTTGTCTATCCCGAAACTCAAGGGGAGACCATATCCTGGAAGCCTGAGAACACCATCTCTCTTCTTAACTCAACGGGGCGGATTAGCATCTCATCTATTTAATTGTCTTATTGAGGCAAGTTTGGAAGATTCTGGACCTACCGCTGTGCCATTCAATAGTCTGTGTAACCAGAAACGCTCGATATCCTCTCTGTGAGAACTGTTGTCTGCGATGTGCTTGCCGAACAGTTCATGGTATCTCGCTTGAACTTCCTCCATAGTGGGCATAGAATCCTCAAATTCGTCAATCCAGGCAATCAATTGAGCGATTTCTTGGTTGATGACAAGTTCTTCATCATCGCCCCCATCCTCATAGTCCGAGTCTTCCCACTCTTCGAAAATGCGAGTGTATACGTACTGCTCACCTACCTTTTGAAGCGAGTAGCGATGCATCTTGAAGTCTGGCGGAGCTTTTGTGAGATAAGTGATAGAAAACTGTCCTCACGATTGTTGATTTCATTTGTACCGTCGCTTCTGGCCTACCTACGCATGGACAACTCTGCGCTTTGACCAGGCACGGCTCAACCCATCCGAATACACTCGTTACATCGAATGAAGGAAATGAAACAAATCAATTACTCCCGTAGTTCAGCATGCTGCTAGGATAGCAAGATTACCAAGCCTGTATATTCAAAGACTGGACTGTTGAGTCAGTCATGAGCGACTTCATCTTAGGACACGAGTCAGAGTGCTCTGTGGCTATGCTGAAGCACAGCACATTGGGCCTTCGGAGAGGCGGGGAACTTTCGACATAAATCCCAGGTGCCAAAATAAATTGGTCCAAATGCCTGCAAATATATACTAAACTTGCCCAAGTCTTTTCGTCACTCAGAATAGAGACCTGAGCGGGCTAACATTTGCTCCGCTCCGTCGGACATCCACTGCTGACTGTGCCAGATCATCCAACTACTTTCCTTATTACGGCAAAGCTTCGAAGCAACTTGTCCACTCGTTTTTGGCGCATTTGTGGAGACTTTTGCACTGAAGATCAGGCTCGCGACAGAGCCAGCGAAACGCGAGGTTCTTTAACGGACAATGCTGATTGGCCACAGGGCCCCGAGAATCGAGCGAGATGAGCTTCAAGGCTGAAGTTGATGATGGGGATTGCGAATACAGCGAAGGCGAGCTCAAGGCTTCAATTGAAGATCAAGCCAATATATATAAATGATGGAAAAACCTTCAGTTCATTTCTGATTCATCATCACTCAATCAGTATACAAAGCATTCACTCAACACATCAATCTAATTTGACATCACCCTCCAACATCTAATTACCAACACAATGGCTACTCATACCATCCGCAAAGTCGTCTATTCTGCCTATGGCGACCCCTCCAACGTGAGCGTCGTCACAGCTCAAATCCCCCATCCAGCAAAGAACGAAGTCCAAGTCGATGTCATCTACTCAGGTTTCTCTGGCGCCGACATCCAAATGCGACTTGGCACATACCCCATGCAAAAGGCGGCACCTTTGACACCCGGCTACTGCTTCGTTGGTCGCGTCAGCACTAATGGGGACAAGTCCTCCAAATTCCGCCCTGGTCAGCTCGTTGGCGCTCTTAGCGTGTACGACGCTGAAGCTCAGAAGATCAATATCCTTGAAAAGTACTTGATCGCTATTCCTGAGCGGGTTGATATGCAACAGGCGGTCGCTGCTTTTCTTGATTGGAACACTGCTTATGGTCTTGTTCATCGAGCGACCAATTTGGTCGGTAAAGGCCAGCGCGTCTTCGTTCATTCCATTAGTGGAGCTGTAGGCTATGCCATTATGACTTTGTGCCTGCTGGAGGGCGCTGAGGTTTACGGTACTGCCTCAGAGCGCAACCATGAGTCGCTTCGCCAGCTGGGAGTAACACCCTTCACCTACGCCAACAAGAACTGGGTCAGCGAAATGAAGCAGCGTGGTGGTGCACACGTAGTCTATGACCCCATTGGCTTTGAGCACTACAATGATTCATGGGACATTCTCATCACCAACGAGCCCTCGCGTCTTGTCGGTTTCGGTGGTAACATGAACATTCTCCAGGGAGATGACGCCAAACCGCGATCACAGTATGTCGGAATGGCCAAACTTCTGGCCAAGAACGGCTGCTTATTTACCAAGAGAAGCACATCATTCTACTACATTGACCGCGATCGCGCGACATTCATGGAAGATCTTCAGGCCGTCATGAATCTTCTCATCGACGAAAAGGTTCAGGTACCGATCAAGAAGGTGTGGGATCTGGAGAATGTGCGGGAGCCCCATGAGACTTGGGGTAAGGTCCCTGGAATGGGATCATGCTTGATCCGTGTCGACCCCAATGCTCCTTGAGTAGGCAAGATTGGTGGAGGATTGTAGGCGACTGTTCATCATTTGGTTCAAAGCATATTCTTGATAGATTACCATGTATTCAAATAATTATTCTTGTATCATTTGTCGATCCTCGATCCTCGATCCTCCACTATGATTTTAATATTTAAGCGTTCTTTGAGTAAAGGCTTCTGTACGTCAATGGCGCTCAAATAGTGATGGTCCTGAGCCACTGTTCCAGGCGTCTTAGCACTGTAGAGCCTCGCATGGATTGCTCTTTACGGACCCGGAGGCTTCAAACTTCACTAGCTACTCTCCACGACAAGAGTTTAGCTGAACAGAATAACTAATCACTGGTTTGACTTGCAGATCACGACAAGACCAAAACAGACTTGCTTACTAGCTATCAGAATTACCGCCGCCAAATACTTGTAGCGCCTCGAATGAGCTTCCATTTTGGGCCTTCTCACCAAGCATGGGCGACACCATGGACAACCGACTAGTTTCATTAGTAAGTCGCGAAGCTATATAAATCCCTTTCTATCAACCAGAAGCTCGACATGAATGCACAGCATCACACTCTTCTCGAAGAACTAAGAAGTTGATTATCTTTTCAATGGCAGGCTTCAACGCAGTCCTCTTGATCACAGGGGCCTGGCACGTCCCTGAGCACTACAAAAAGCTCATTCATGAGCTGGAGAGACATGGTATAAGAGTCATCTGTGAGCGCCTTCCAACAAACAATAACGCTGTGCCGCCAAACAAAACAATCCAAGATGACATCGACTTCATCAAAGACATCGTCTCCAAAGAGGTTGCTGCAGGCACGCATCTCACTGTCATTGGCCATTCGTGGGGAGGCATGCTTGCTTCTACAGCTTTGGCGAGCTTTGCTGTTTCGCCTGAGTCAAAAGAAGGGGGTGTCACTGACATGATATTCATCGCCGCCTTTGTTCCTTCGGAAAATGATTCATTGGCCGGCCTCTTCGGTGGAAAGCTGCCTCCTGCGCTTGTTCCTAAATCTGATGGGACTCTTGTGCCGACTGATCCCATTCATCTTTTCTACCATGACCTGCCGGAGGAGGAAGCTCAATGGGCCAAGAATACAATGGTTGCCCATGGTACGGATGTTCAATACGCTCCTATCAATTGCGAGAAAGTGGCATGGCATGTTGTTCCACTGACGTACATCATTTGTGAGGAGGATCAAGGATTGCTCAGCTTTTTGCAGGAGGGTATGATTGAGAAGGTTGAAGAACAGGGGGTCATCGTTCAGAAGTATCGTTTGCCTTCCTCTCATAGCCCCTTCCTGAGTATGCCCAAAAAGCTTGCCGACATCGTGTTGGAGGTCATGAACTCACGATAAATGTCAAGAATTGTACTTCACCACCATGCTCGGTTTAACATCAGTCCGTCAGTTACAAGCATATTGCAGTAAATTTAGCATACCATCACTTAATATTCGTTCTAGAAATCTTATTTTCAGATCACTGGCTTCCCAACCTATTCTGATTTCTGAAAGTACGAGCAATGTCACAGTCACCTGCTGGTCTTTGAGTTAAGAACACGAGAACACACAGTGAGATTTAAAGGGCTTAATAATAGCATCTACGTTCGTAAGTAGCATCTGGCCCATTACGCAGAGAACCAAAGTCTTGAATGTGCTGGCTTGATGTATTTCACTGGGATGTTAGAGGATTTGATGATAAGTAACAAACAGCAACTTCATTCGTACTATATTCTGGGGACAGTATAACATAGTAGCAGCAAAAGGTAGAAGAGTATGTTTGGATGACAGGCATTGCTTCGGTGGCCTTTGTTCCACCTTGCAAGAGCCGAACAAGCATGGGAGTGTCTGGAGAACAGCCCCACGGATTCGTGGAGTCATCAAGCAACCAGCAATGGCTTCACAGAAAAACGAACAACAACATATAGTAAATTCCATTGGGAAAACGAATATAAATATACTTCACCTGCCCATAGAACTGAAATAACTCTCATTTCAATACCGCCCTAGCTGGTACAGCAAAGTTATCCTCAACTTCTAGCAAGTCACTCCAGCAAACTCACAATCACACACCGAAACCTTCACCCGATATGTGCCACACCGTCTACGGTGCACTCGAGTGCCGGCACTACAACAAGACCAAGTTTACAGGTGAGCAGACCTTCCGAAAGTGCCAGCGTGCCCTCATTTAGCGCAAATACCCTGAGCGATGCATGCCTGAATGGGAGTGTGCACAGACCTTTAGCACTCTTTACAAGCTCTTCGTGTGGAAGGAGTACCATAATAAAATGAATCAGCGAAGGGAACAAGACCTCCTCCTCCTCATAAAGGAAGGTGATGATACATACAGTTACTGGTACGAAACTGGAGGGCCCACCAACTGCAGCGTGTCCCGCCTCTGAGCAAACTGATACGGGGCAATAAAGGCAGTTTAGTGAACAGCAGTAGAAGATGCAGCAGGGGATGATGTTGACAAGCTCGAGGCAGTCAAGTTAAGGAGAGAGGCAAGTGGATGCTGGAGCATGCCAATTCTGGCTGGAGAGAAAAGCTTCTTCGAGTTACAGAGAGGTCAAGGGACGAGAGGGGATGAAAGGCAACAGAAAAGCATTGAAGGAAAAGTGGAGGGAAAGGTAGTTAGATTGCAATCAGAATTCTATTTGCAGTATCATTCTTGTCATCATTATGGCTGCCCACATAGCCTAATTTCCACTTATTAACCAGGAATCTATAGTTCTGGCTCACATCAAGTTATTCGCAAAGTGACCCGGGTCGCTTCGATGTCGCGAGGTTGTAGCTCAATGCCTCAACCTAGGTAGTCTACGTCTTGTACCAGCAACCATTCCTTTCGGTGTTACAAGAGTGTAAATTAAGAAGCAAATACAAGGAACATGAAGATTTAACAAATTGAATCATAAGTCATAACCCTACGGAGTTGTAATGGCTGAACAGAACCTTGGACCATGCCATTACTAACTCAGTGACACGACAGCACCAAGCAAGACCGAAAGCCGCTCGAATTGTAAGATCTACGTAGCGAACGACTGTTCTTTGAGATACTGCGTACGAAACATGAAATACAAGGTAATAATACAATCTAGGCATAATCTCTTGTATTACTGAGTAATTCCACTGCCCTTCGCCCAGTTGAAACCACACATTCCCCATAATGATAAGGCGAGACGAATACATAGCTCTGGCGCCCACAGGAACCAGTTCAAACGATTGCAGCAATGCAAGGTCAGCTATCATTCGCTACTGCTCCCGCTGCCGTTCTGTAATCGGGAGGCAGAGCTCCGCCTTGCTGGTTATGTGGTTGCAAGGGAGTTCGAAGCGCTGTGCGGTATGTCGGAACTTTACTGAG